AGGATGAGTTGCACACTAAGCAGAAAGGGGAAAAAAATGGAAGATGACAAGAATAGTAGTAATAACACTGATATAAAGTTCCAATATGTCCTTTTAAAATCTGAGTTAAGCCATTTGTGGACTGGACATATGTGGTTACTCTTTAAAAACACAACAAAAAACTAGATTTTTATAACCTTTGCATTTTATTCAGTACCTATTCCTAGATATGGTCAGAATAGTATATGAATTGACATAAAACAGAAATTTACCATTCTCCTGCAAAGTATGGCTTACAAACAGCGGAAGCAAGAAGAACTACAATCCTGCAGCCTGTGGAACAAAAACCACATTCACAGAAAGACAGGCAAGATGAAAAGGCAGAGGGCTATGTACCAGATGAAGGAACAAGATAAAACCCCAGAAAAACAACTAAATGAAGTGGAGATAGGCAACCTTCCAGAAAAAGAATTCAGAATAATGATAGTGAAGATGATCCAGGACCTCAGAAAAAGAATGGAGGCAAAGATCGAGAAGATACAAGAAATGTTTAACAAAGACCTAGAAGAATTAAAGAACAAACAAACAGAGATGAACAATACAATAACTGAAATGAAAAATACACTAGAAGGAATCAATAGCAGAATAACTGAGGCAGAAGAACAGATAAGTGACCTGGAAGACAGAATGGTGGAATTCACTGCTGTGGAACAGAATAAAGAAAAAAGAATGAAAAGAAATGAAGGCAGCCTAAGAGACCTCTGGGACAACATTAAATGCACCAACATTGGCTTTATAAAGGTCCCAGAAGGAGAAGAGAGAAAGGACCCGAGAAAATATCTGAAGACATTATAGTGGAAAACTTCCCTAACACGGGAAAGGAAATAGTCCAGGAAGCACAGCGAGTCCCATACAGGATAAACCCAAGGAGAAACACGCCAAGACACACGGTAATCAAACTGGCAAAAATTAAAGGCAAAGAAAAATTATTGAAAGCAGCAAGGGAAAAACGAAAAATAACATACAACAGAACTCCCATAAGGTTAATGGCTGATTTCTTATCAGAAACTCTACAAGCCAGAAGGGAATGGCATGATATACTTAAAGTGATGAAAGGGAAGAACCTACAACCAAGATCACTCTACCCAGCAAGGATCTCATTCAGATTCGATGGAGAAATCAAAAGCTTTACAGGCAAGCAAAAGCTAAGAGAATTCAGCACCACCAAGCCAGCTCTACAACAAATGCTAAAGAAACTTAAGTGGGAAACACAAGCGAAGAAAAGGACCTACAAAAACAAACCCAAAACAATTAAGAAAATGGTCATGGGAACATACATATCGATAATTACCTTAAACGTGAATGGATTAAATGCTCCAACCAAAAGACACAGGCTTGATGAATGAATACAAAAACAAGACCTATATATATGCTGTCTACAAGAGACGCACTTCAGACCTAGGGACACATACAGACTGAAAGTGAGGGGATGGAAAAAGATATTCCATGCAAATGGAAATCAAAAGAAAGCTGGAGTAGCAATATTCATATCTGATAAAATAGACTTTAAAATAAAGAATGTGACAAGGAAGGACACTACATAATGATCAAGGGATCAATCCAAGAAGAAGATATAACAATTATAAATATACATGCACCCAACATAGGAGCACCTCGATACATAAGGCAACTACTAACAGCTATAAAAGAGGAAATCGACAGTAACACAATAACAGTGGGGGACTTTAACACCTCACTTACACCAATGGACAGATCATCCAAAATGAAAATAAATAAGGAAACAGAAGCTTTAAATGACATAACAGACCAGATAGATTTAATTGATATTTATAGGACATTCCATCTGAAAACAGCAGATTACACTTTCTCCTCAAGGGTGCACAGAACATTCTCCAGGATAGATCACATACTGGGTCACAAATCAAACCTCAGTAAATTTAAGAAAATTGAAATCATATCAAGCATCTTTTCTGACCACAACGCTATGAGATTAGAAATCAATTACAGGGACAAAAAACCTAAAAAACACAAACACATGGAGGCTAAACAATACGTTACTAAACAGCCAAGTGATCACTGAAGAAATCAAAGAGGAAATCAAAAAATACCTAGAGACAAATGACAATGAAAACACGACAATCCAAAACCTATGGGATGCAACAAAAGCAGTTCTAAGAGGCATGTTTATGGCTATAAAGCCTACCTCAAAAAACAAGAAAAATCTCAAATAAACAATCTAACCTTACACCTAAAGGAATTAGAGAAAGAAGAACAAACAAAACCCAAAGTTAGGGACTTCTGTGGTGGCACAGTGGTTACGAATCCACCTGCCAATGCAGGGAACATAGGTTCAAGCCCTGGTCCAGTAAGATCCCACATGCCACAGAGCAACTAAGCCCGTGTGCCACACCTACTGAGCCCGTGAGCCACAACTACTGAAGCCTGCATGTCTACAGCCCATGCTATGTAACATGAGAAGCCACTGCAGTGAGAAGCCCTCGCACCACCACAAAGAGTAGCCCCTGCTCACTGCAACTAGAGAAAGCCCGTGCACAGCAATGAAGGCCCAATGCAGCCAAAAATAAATAAATAGATAAATTTATTTTAAAAAACAACAACAGGGGCTTCCCTGGTGGCGCAGTGGTTGAGAGTCCGCCTGCTGATGCAGGGGACACGGGTTCGTGCCCCGGTCCGGGAAGATCCCACATGCTGCGGAGCAGCTGGGCCCGTGAGCCATGGCCGCTGAGCCTGCACGTCCGGAGCCTGTGCTCCACAACGGGTGAGGCCACAACAGTGAGAGGCCCACGTACCGCCAGAAAACAAACAAACAAACAAACAAAAAAACAAAACAACAACAACAACAACAAAAAAAACCCCAAAGTTAGCAGAGGCAAGAAATCATAAAGATCAGAGCAGAGATAAATGAAATAGAAACAAAGAAAACAATAGTAAAGATTAATAAAACTAAAAGCTGGTTCTTTGAGAAGATAAACAAAATTGATAAACCATTAGCCAGACTCATCAAGAAAAAGAGGGAAAGGACTCAAATCAATAAAATTAGAAATGAAAAAGGAGAAGTTACAACAGACACCACAGAAATACAAAGCATCCTAAGAGACTACTACAAGCAACTCTATGCCAACAAAATGGACAACTGGGAAAAAATGACAACTTCTTAGAAAGGTATAACTTTCCAAGACTGAAGCCGGAAGAAATAGAAAATATGAACAGAACAATCACAAGTAATGAAATTGAAACTGTGATTAAAAATCTTCCAACAAACAAAAGTCCAGGACCAGATGGCTTCACAGGCGAATTCTATCAAACATTTAGAGGAGAGCTAACACCTATCCTTCTCAAACTCTTCCAAAAAATTGCAGAGGAAGGAACACTCCCAAACTCATTCTATGAGGCGACCATCACCCTGATACCAAAAGCAGACAAAGATACTACAAAAAAAGAAAATTACAGACCAATAACACTGATGAATACAGATGCAAAAATCCTCAACAAAATACTAGCAAACAGAATCCAACAACACATTAAGAGGATCATACACCATGATCAAGTGGGATTTATCTCAGGGATGCAAGGATTCTTCAATGTACGCAAATCAATGTGATACATCATATTAACAAACTGAAGAATAAAAACCATATGATCATCTCAATAGATGCAGAAAAAGCTTTTGACAAAATTCAACACCCATTTATGATAAAAACTCTCCAGAAAGTGGGCACAGAGGGAGCCTACCCCAACATAATAAAGGCCATATATGACAAACCCACAGCAAACATCATTCTCAATGGTGGAAAACTGAAAGCATTTCCTCTAAGATCAGGAACAAGACAAGGATTGTCCCCTCTCACCACTATTATTCAACATAGTTTTGGAAGTCCTAGCCACGGCAATCAGAGAAGAAAAAGAAATAAAAGGAATACAAATTGGAAAAGCAGAAGTAAAACTGTCACTGTTTGCAGATGACATGATACTATACTCAGAGAATCCTAAAGATGCCACCAGAAAACTACTAGAGCTAATCAATGAATTTGGTAAAGTTGCAGGATATAAAATTAATGCACAGAAATCTCTTGCATTCCTATACACTAATGATGAAATATCTGAAAGAGAAATTAAGGAAACACTCCCATTTACCACTGCAACAAAAAGAATAAAATACTTAGGAATAAACCTACCTAGGGAGACAAAAGACCTGTATGCAGAAAACTATAAGACACTGATGAAAGAAATTAAAGATGATACCAACAGATGGAGAGATATACCATGTTCCTGGATTAGAAGAATCAATATTGTGAAAATTACTATACTACCCAAAGCAATCTACAGATTCAATGCAATCCCTATCAAATTACCAATGGCATTTTTTACAGAACTAGAACAAAAAAATCTTAAAATTTGTATGGAGACACAAAAGACCCCGAATAGCCAAAGCAGTCTTGAGGGAAAAAAACAGAGCTGGAGGAATCAGACTCCCTGACTTCAGACTATAATACAAAGCTACAGTAATCAAGATAATAATATGGTACTGGCACAAAAACAGAAATATAGATCAATGGAACAGGATAGAAAGCCCAGAGATAAAGCCATGCACCTATGGTCAACTAATCTATGACAAAAGAGGCAAGGATATACAGTGGAGAAAAGACAACCTCTTCAATAGTGGTGCTGGGAAAACTGGACAGCTACATGTAAAAGAATGAAATTAGAACACTCCCTAACACCATACACAAAAATAAACTCAAAATGGATTAGAGACCTAGATGTAAGACTGGACACTATAAAACTCGTAGAGGAAAACATTGGAAAGAACACTCTTTGACATAAGTCACAGCAAGATCTTTTTTGTTCCACCTCCTAGAGTAATGGAAATAAAAACAAAAATAAACAAATGGGACCTAATGAAACTTCAAAACTTTTGCACAGCAAAGGAAACCATAAATAAGACGAAAAGACAAGCCTCAGAATGGGAGAAAATATTTGCAAATGAATCAATGGACAAAGGATTAATCTCCAAAATATATAAACAGCTCATGCGGCTCAATATTAAAGAAACAAACAACACAATCCAAAAATGGGCAGAAGACCTACACAGACATTTCTCCAAAGACATACAGATGGCCAAGAAGCACATGAAAAGGTGCTCAACATCACTAATTATTAGAGAAATGTAAATCAAAATTACAGTGAGGTATCACCTCACACCAGTTAGAAAAGGCATCATCAGAAAATCTACAAAAAACAAATGCTGAAGAGGGTGTGGAGAAAAGGGAACCCTCTTGCACTGTTTGTGGGAATGTAAATTGATACAGCCACTATGGAGAACAGTATGGAGGTTCCTTAAAAAACTAAAAATTAGAATTACCATATGACCCAGCAGTCCCACTACTGGGCATATACCCAGAGAAAACCACAATTCAAAGACACATGAACCCCAATGTTCACTGCAGCACTATTTACAATAGCCAGGTCATGGAAGCAACCTAAATGCCCATCGACAGACGAATGGATAAAGAAGATGTGGTACATATATATAATGGAATATTACTCAGCCATAAAAAGGAATGAAATTGGGTCATTTGGTGAGACGTGGGTGGATCTAGAGACTGTCATACAGAGTGAAGTAAGTCAGAAAGAGAAAAACAAATATCGTATATTAACACATGTATGTGAAATGTAGAAAAATGGTACAGATGAACCAGTTTGCAGGGCAGCAGTTGAGACACAGATGTAGAGAACAAACGTACGGACACCAAGGGGGGAAAGCTGTGGTGGCGGGGGGGTGGGGATGGTGGTGTGATGAATTGGGCAATTGGAATTAACATGTATACACTGCTGTGTATAAAACTGATGACTAAGAAGAACCTGCTGTATAAAAAAATAAAATAAAATTCAAAAAAACACAGAAATTTAAGTATTAAATAATAAAAGCACAATTTTACCTTTTAATTCTCCATGACCAATCCTTCCTAGACGGCCAATTACAACTCTCCATGGCAATGAACTCATCTGTACAAGTCCTAAGCACCACTCCCAAAGTTTCTGTAGACCAAATCTTCTAGCGGATCCTTTTTTCCGACGAGCCCTGTTGTATGGAATAGAGTCATAAATATTTCTAAAATTCCTATGATGACATTTCGAAAGAGCTCAAATTTGTGAAAAACTGGTCCCTTCATTTTAATGCTTGATATTTTTTACACAAGTCCTAAGCAAGAATATATATAAAATCACAGGTTTGACATGATAGTTTGTATTTTGTTTAATACATATTAAAATATATACTTAAAATTAAAAATTGTCCAAGAACCACCAAAATTCACCAGAAACACTGCTCTATACCAGAGATTAGCACACTTTTTCTTTAAAGGGCCAACATTTTAAGCTTTGCAGGCCATCAAGATTCTTCTGCAAGAATTCAACCTGCTGCAGCACTAAAGCAGCCATGGACAATAATTAAACAAATGAGTGTGGCCAGATTTGGCCTATGGCCTGGAGTTTGCCAACCCTTGCTTCATACTTTATTTTTTTTTTAAATAAATTTATTTATTTATTTATTTTTGGCTGTGTCGAGTCTTCGTTGCTGCGCATGGGCTTTCTTTAGTTGCAGCGAGCAGGGGCTACTCTTCATTGCGGCACTCAGGCTTCTCATTTTGGTGGCTTCTCTTGTTGCGGAGCACAGGCTCTAGGCACATGGGCCCAGTAGTTGTGGTTCGCAGGCTCAGTAGCTGTGGCGCACGGGCTTAGTTGCTCCACGGCATGTGGAATCTTCCCAGACCAGGGCTTGAACCCATGTCCCCTGCATTGGCAGGCGGAATTCTTAACCGTTGCGCCACCAGGCAAGTCCCTTGCTTCATACTTTAAATTGAAGAATATCGAACAAACCCCTCCCCCCACTTCCCAGAACAAAACAATGCTGTGTTTTCTGCATGCACGTCCTTTATTAGGCAAGTACATAACATTAAGTGCTCTGTGGCTGAGCAACAGTAGCTACCATTTATTGAGTACTTACTATGTACCAAGCAGTATGTCCAATCAATTTACATGTAATACCTCATTTCATCTTAACAGCCCTATAAGGCAGATAAAATTATCCTCCTAATTTTACAGAGAAGTAAGCTACAGCTCAGTTGGATAAAGTAATTTTGTCGAGATCAAACAGCCAGTAAGTGGCAGGACTGGGATTTGAACCCAGATCTCTATGACTCTAGAGTTGGACCTCTTAACCATCATCTCACTTCTACTTTCAGTAAAATGGCAATACACTATTTTTTTATTGGGAAGGTGGTATTATTCTTTCTCTATTCTCTTTCTCATCCTTCACAGATCAATGTTTCTATATTCTGTTTCTTCAGCGCCACTATAACCAAATAATCACTAAGATTTTTTGCACATAACCAATTTCTGAACTTAAAAGAACAGAACGTTTAGATAATAAAGAAGAAAATAAAGAACAGAATCAAATCTGAAAATTAAAGTTACTTCATGGATTTTTCAGGTTCTCTTAGGCAGTGTTCACTAGCCTTGAAATATGTTATTACAAGTGTCTATTAAGTGATAATTCAATATGAGGCTCATCTTTTGTGACCTATTAGTTACAGTCTTCATGAATAACTGGTCATGATACCTAACTACTATCAAGAAGAATTCTAAAAAGAAGGCCACCATTTTCAGAAGACACTCCAACATTTATAAAGGAAAATTTTTAGTAAAGAAAGTTAACTCAGTTTATTAGGGACTATATCTTAGATGGTATATGAGAAAAGTAAATGTTCTAGGATGCCTTACTAGATTTTAATTTGCAGATGGCTTTCTAGTTCCAATGTTCCAAAATTTGTTAGGCTAAAATCATTACCTCAAGGTTTATTACACAGAATATAGGGGCTTTAACCTCTTTTGTCTATGTAACCGAGATAATCAAAATTATTTTTGAGTCCATTAAATTATACAATGTAAATATTCACTACAAAAGATATGAAAAGCACCCACAATCCCAAGACTTAATATTTTAATATATATACCTTCCAAACCATTTTCTATTCATTAAAAATGAAACATAATGTGCATGTATGAATTTTTTTTCAAGGGATGATACAATGATACATTTAAGGAAATAAAAGTACCTATTTGGGACATCGATGTTAATGATACACGTTTCTAAAAGTTCTCCATATAGATCTGTGCAAGATGCAAGAATCCATCTTTGATCATGTGATAAACAGTAGCCCACGAAAAGAACATTGTATTTCTGTCCAGCTTCTCCAAATGTTTCTCCTAGCTCTGTCTGTTTATCCTTCACTGGAGCCAGAATAAAAGGAGGTGTATAAAGTCGAATACACTCTGGTCTCTGTAAAGTAAAAAATTAAGTTACTACAGTACTATACAATCACAGAAAAATCTTTTGTTGAAAATAAAGATAGGGACTTCTCTGGTGGCGCAGTGGTTAAGAATCCGCCTGCCAATGCAGGGGACATGGGTTTGAGCCCTGGTCCAGGAAGATCCCACATGCCACAGAGCAACTAAGCCCGTGAGCCACAACTACTGAGCCTGCGCTCTAGAGCCTGTGAGCCACAACTACTGAAGCCCATGGGCCTAGAGCCCGTGAGCTGCAACAAGAGGAGCCACTGCAATGAGAAGCCCACACACTGCAACGAAGAGTAGCCCCTGCTCACCACAGCTAGGGAAAGCCCATGCGCAGCAACGAAGACCCAACGCAGCCAAAAATAAATAAATTAATTAAAAAATAAAAATAAAAGAAAGATATAGTATATCTACCCATTATAAGATAACTGGAAAATGAGAGCTAATCAGAGACTTGCACTTAGTTTTGCATAAAATCATAAAATGTAGTCATTCAATAACTTTGGTAATGGAAAACATACTTACATCAGGACTTTTAAGAGCAGTTTCCATGGCTAAACCTGGACCAAAACCAGTCAATGTTTTCACATTGGTTGATGTTGGAAGTGGTCTCCGACACTGGGTAAAGGCCGAAAAAGCCAGGGATTTTAAATGCTGGGTATAGATTTGTCTATCTTCATGCTTCACAGGTTGCAACAGGTACTGACAGGGAACAATCTAAGAATTACAGGCAAATATTGCAAATGTTAGACTTTCCACAAGAGAATAAAAAGAACAGTGAGTCTAAAACTCTAAACATTTTATTAGAAAATTTAAACAAAACAATTAAAATGATAACCTAAAGAATGATATTTTCTTATCTATTATATAGATTTTTAATGAATACTCAATTTTATTAATAAGCTATGTAAAAATCTTTAAACATTTCTACATAGCAGTTATACTGATCAATACTGCCACTGACTGCCATAGTCCTGTTGTAGTCTATAAAGAATAATTCAAATTCTCTGCATACAACTTAATATGGTTAATTTTTCTCTACTTCTAGTTTGTAACCTTTTATTTAGAACTCTAGTTTATATAAGTCCATTCTTTTCCTATTTAAGCTTATGAATTTAAGAATTAGTTTATAAAAGTAACACGGGAGAGATATTTAACATACTTAATGTGGTCTTTTTATTCTCTATTCTTACTGTTGTATCATTGCAAGTTTACCTTTTATAAACTAAGATTTCTATTATAATATCATTTATAGTAAAGTCAATATAATAGAACCTGGCCTTTAGAAAATCAATGTGGATACAGAATAGTAACTTTGAAACTTCTATCAACATTAAGCGTTTTAAATAAATTTAACTTACAACATTTATCATTCTCACCTGTACAGACACAGTGCTCTTAACATGAGGAGGAAGAGTCTGGACCATTTCCAGAAAACATCGAAGTAACCCCAAAGTCCATACATTAGAAGAATTAGTGCTCTCATCTTTGTTTTCATATGTAAAAGGATCAATTATATAAACAACAATTGCAGGTGGATAAGTGATTGCATGTGAATCACCATCTGTGGGGATGCCCACTTTGTCCCGATCCATTGTGCTAAAATTTGAAGTAGAAATAAGACAGTTAGGGAAAAAGTTCTCCTGTACCTTCTCGGAATAGCATCAAAACAGGTTCTTAATACCCTTTTCCCTTTTTCCTTTTTTTTTGGGGGGGGGGGGAGGGCGGCGTGTGGTGTTGAGAGCCTCTCTAAAAATGAGGGACATCTTTCTCTTCAAAGAGAACCAAAAAGTTCACAATTTGATGGTGTACAAAGACCCTTGGCATTAAGAGGTCTTGCATTAAAAAGAAGAAACAGAATTCTTAAAACCACAGAGCATCAGAAACATCAGAGAGCTTAGTGCTTAAGTGATAAAACTGAGACAAAGATAAGTTAAATGAGCTGCCCAAGATCACAAGGCTGGCTAGAGGCAGAGCTAGACCAAAAAGAAACCAATTCTCCAGACTTAGTCAATGTTCTATTACATTTTTAGAATATATATATTCATTTCATACTTCATAACTTCAATGGTGATTAAGCTTCATTCTTTGATGGTGATATGATTTTTTAAAACTCCAAATCTTTTTAGATGTTCAAAATGGAAGATCTAGCTGGGTAATTAAGAGTTTGCTTTTAATCACATATAAGTATAACTTTGGGCAAAACTGCATCCAGGTAGCTGAAAGATATAACCAAGCTTAGGCTAACCTAACCTATAAATCAAAAGGGAATGCCTTCTTCATAAAAGTAATAGAGAGCTGTCACCATCGTTGTTGTTATAAATAACTTAAGTGGAAGCATTTTGTAAAGAGCATAATATGCATTATATCCTATTGCTCCCACTCTACAGATAAGAAAACATGCTCAAAAACGTTAGGTAACTTTCCTAAAGCGACATAGCCAGTAAACGACAGATTCAAATTCTGGTACAACTCTTATGCCACTGAACAGGGTCATTCAATAGTGACTTCTAAATCACTGGAGTGATTTGCATAGGCAAATCTACTTGACAGTTATGTCACGGAACAGACTCAAACATCACAGGATAGTTTGACTAAATGGTTTTTAAGGTCTTCATTCCCACCCTGAGATTCTATGATAAAGACTTTATGAAGAGTCTTCATTATAATTTTATAGGTTAAATATTCGACATTATAAAAACTAAAATTTCAAGGATAAGACCAAAGGCTCTTTATGTTATTTGGACAAGAAGAAGCATATATTTATACTTCTGCAAAGGTTGGTATATTTAAATATACCTTTCAGACACATCAGGATGTGGATGAGTCGGAATCGAAGATGACTCTCCAGAAATCCCAGCTGTTTGTAGAGCTGATGGTGGTTGCCCTCCTAGCTGGCCATTCTGAACTGTACTTGCTTGTGTAGACATGGATCCCGCAACACTACTGTTCATACTGCCAAAGGGTGGAAATGAAGGTAGTTTATTTGATGACATTCCACTATTCAAGTTGGAGGATGATGAAGATGAAGCTGAAGTTGTGGTCAAAGTTGAGTTAGCTGTGGCAACTGAAGAAGACATGGCAACACCTGAAGTCATTGTCACAGTGCTGCTCGCTGTAGATGCTAGGGTGGCAGATGGAATATTAGCATTTCCAGTACTTGTCATCTGAGGTGGAGTAATCAAAGGCTGACTTGTAGGGGCAACTAAATTTGGTTGGGAAAGTAGAGAGCTGTCCAATGGCTGGGAAGCAAGGTAAGGACCTAAAGACAATAAAAACAGGATATTTAATTCTTTATTTCACTGATTGGTTCTTTATTTAATCTACTATGTGAATAATAATTTCTAGTTTATACTCTTTTGGTCATTACCCTCCCCCTAATTTGCCTGCTAACAGTGTAGCAAACACTAGCTTTCTATTTCCCCTACAAAGTGAAAAAATTTTTTAAATGGAATTGAAAAATAAACCAGTTTATACGAAATAAAGAAATGGTTTCCATGAAATATAATAAAATTCTATTTTGAAGGCATAATTAATTAAATAAAAATAACTGTATCTAGCAAATTTTCATTAAACCATTCAACAAGTTCCTAGGTCACAAGTTGAGTAGTGACTATACTGGGAACTAATTAAATATAAAATGGAGGAATGTTATGGGGTTCAAATTATAGGAATGTCTAATGAGGTTCCATGTTTTGGCTCTGTGTATCTTTGGATTAAGTCTAAAGTTAAGTCCATTGATATTTAATTCAAGGGTGTTAAAAGCAAGTCTTCAACAGCTGCCATTTTCTTAATTCCAACAAAGAACTGTCTCTCTGTGTTGTAGAGGGAACTACAAGTTGTTTTACCTCTAAACCATTAACAAATCAAAAATCTTAATTTTAATAAACTTAAATAAAAACACAACTCTTCCTACTTGATGGGATCCCTACTGTAGTGATCAGCAAACTTTTTCTGTAAAGGATCAGATAGTAAATATTTTTGCCTTTCCAAGTTACACAGTCTCTGTCACAACGACTCAGCCCTGATCTTGTAGCATAAAAGAAGCCACAGACATCTGTAAATAAATGAGCATGGCTGGGTTGCATTAAAATATTATTTACAAAAAGCTGGTGGACTGGGTCATACTTTGCTAAAATGACCTTACACAATAAATACAAATTCAATACCTAGGTCATATCTGCAGACTTGTGCATAAAGCTTGAGTTTAGAAAATGCTTCACTGTTACCATCAGCTGCCTGAGAAAACCATTCTGCTACCAACTTTTCTGATAGTTTCTTTGATGCAGTAGATCCAACTCTCATGATCCCATCCGTCAATAGTCGAGAAATAGGTCTATGTTGACCCAATCGACAAGACTACAAATACAGATACAGAAATCAGAATTAGTGAGTTTGCTATAGTTTTTTAGTTCATATCATAAAATAAAGGATTTAAGCTATTTAAAAATAAGCTTTATCATTTATAACTAACATTTGCAATAATATCAAGGTGAAATGGTGCCACAGGTCTTTTTACTTTTCTACATTAGAAATCCATTGAATTTCTATCAAAATTAAAATATCTCCAATGAAATAAAACATCTAGATAATAATGGCACTAGATCCATGTAGTTTGAATAACAAAAACTTGCAGAATACAGAAATAACTGAGCATGAATATGCAGTCATTTTAAGTTGTACATCCATCCCAATTCATGTATATAAATGCATCATCCAGCTCTCCCTCCAATTCTGCAGGCCACTTATGTTCGTTACAGGAAGCCCAATCTCAAACAGTTTGCAACACTGGATTAAGAAAGTTTAGACAAAGGGTTTCTTTACTGTAAAGACTTTCATAGGCTTTAATAATCTAACATGTACAGTGAATCTCTAAAAGGTAAATAGACACAAAATGTCTCCCCAAACCTATCTAACTATGGAACTTTTTTCTGGGAAGATTTTGCAGGACTAGTGTTGTAAATAACACTCTTTGGAAATATTTACTTTTACAAAACACACTACAGATACCTTGCAATTAAAGTTAAGTAGAACATTAATGAGGAGCTAAACCAGCACAAACTAACGATTCAGATTGTAAAAGAAACTAAATTTTAAAGTCTAGATTTCCAAGCATTTGTGGGAAAAGGGAGATACCGTTGGCCCTTTGTATCCTTAGGTTCTGAATCCACAGATTCAACCGACCATGTATCAAAAATATTCAAAAAAAAAAAAAATCCAGAAAGTTCCAAAAAGCAAAACTTGAATTTGCCGTGTCTGCAACTATTTACATAGCATTAGGTATGTAATGCTATGTAAATATCATCTATAAGTAATCTAGAGATGATTTAAAGTATAAGGGAGGATGTGTATAGCTTATATACAAACACTATGCCATTTTATATAAGACTGAGCATCCATAAATTTTGGTGTCTGCAAGGGGTCCTAGAACCAATACCCTGAGGATATTCAGGAACGACTATAAAATGAAGTTAAGACTGTATGTTCCAGGGTACTTAAAATTTATAATCACTGTACTCAATGATGGATACAACATGAGAATTGTAACTTAAAAGACCAGCCAAGAATTTCAGAAATAAAATGGATCTTAGAGAGGCCTTATCATAGCTTTTACATATGAGGTAAGTAAGGCCTAGTGTCTAAACCTGAGGTCCTAGAGAATCGAGCCTAGAATTTTTATAAATGTAATTTTTTCCTGGCCATTTACAATGCTACCCTTTGTTTCAGAAAAAGATTATCTTAAATGGGACATACATGCTCTCAATGGTTTTCCCCCAGTACGGCAATTTCCACGGTGACCCATGGTGCACACCTCACAAAGGGTCTGGCTCAAAGCTGTAAAGAATATAACTGGCTTGTATGAGAACTAAACACCTAGTCTGACATTGTTATTATTCTTTACCAGTCAACTGAAATATCCAGTATATTTTATATATAAACATACAAATCATAAGGTAGTTTTAAAACGACACCTCTTTTTAAGCACCTACCTCATATATTGCAGTAAGATCTCTAAAAAAGCTTTTGGCTCCATTTAACAAGGCTTCATTTTCTGGACATAGTACAACATAAGCTATATCTCTTTGAGATCCATAGGGTTCCAGCATAAGTCTCTCCCAATAAGGGAGAGCAAATGGAGAAAGCACCAGAAAATCAAAATCATAACCCAACAAAAACGTGGGGATTGGCAGTGGTTCTGGGGATTCATCAGTTCCTAAATAAGAAAAGACATATTTTAAGAAAAGATTTAAAAGAAGAACATTTATTTTTATATATTATTTTTAGAATATTTTAAAATTTTATTTATTTTTGGCTATGTCAGGTCTTAGTTGCGACATGCAGGATCTTCGTTGCGGGTTCTTCCGTTGCAGCGCGCGGGCTCAGTAGTTGTGGTGCACAGGCTTAGCTGCCCCTCAGCATGTGAGATCTTAGTTCCCCAACCAGGGATCGAACCCGTGTCCTCTGCATTGGAAGGCAGATTCTTTACAACTGGACCATCAGGGAAGTCCCAAGAGGAACATTTAAATGTCAAGAGTTAGTGTAGTCATTATTAGTAGTAAAAATATTTAATTAAAGACAAAAATACCTAAAAGCCAGTGATTGAGACTTTCACAGTTAGGAATTTGATAAATGATCTTTTATAAAATATGTGACTTATACCTTCACTTAAATGTAAAAAAATTAATTAGGACGAAAAACTTATTAGTACAAAAGAAGATATGGGAGGGTTTAAAAAAATTATATTAGTTTCAGGCGTACAACATAGTGATTTGATATTTTTATACATTATGAAACAATGACCACAATAAGACCAGTTTCCATCCGTCACCATACAAAGTTGTTATAACATTACTGACTACATTCCCATGTGTACACTACATCCCCATGATTTATTTATTTTATAGTTGGAAGTCTGTACCTCTTAATCACTGTCACCTATATTGTCATCATTTTATTTTGAATAAACTCAAGACTGGGGGAAGCCTTTTTAAGCATAATGTAAAACCTGTCCATTTAAAAACTGATTAATCTGACAACATAAATTTTAAATTTTGGCATGAAAAAACACTATAAACAAAGCCAAACAATTAACAATAAATTGGAAAAAAGATGTGCAATGTGTATAACAAAAGGTTAATTTCCTTACCATAGAAAGGGGACCTATAAATCCATAAGGAATTGATCAACATCCTAACAGAAAAACAGGTAAAGGATATAAACAAAGTCCGCAGAAACAGAAATGCCTCTTATACATAAAAAGATGCTCAATCTCATTAAGAGCAAGGAATTTTAAAAATTAATAGCAAACAATTATAACATTTACTATGTGCTAGGTAATGTTCAAAGATCTTTACATGTATTCACTCATTTAATCCCCACAAAAACCATGAAGCAGACACTAATATCAACCTTATTTTAGAGATGAGAAAGCACGAATAGAGACAGTAAACAACATGTCCAGTATCACATAAGAAGTGGCAGAGGTGGGATTTAGAATCTAGGAAATCTACCCTCAAAGTCTGTACTAGTTTACCTCTCAAACTATAATGAAACAAACCAGTTTCTCCCATCTACTCAGCACCCTACTGGCAAGGGTTTGGGGGAACAAGCATTTTATTGGTGGAAGTTTAAACCACTATCAGAGAGAGTAATTTGGCAATATATATATTTTTAAATATACACATGCTTTAAGCCAGGGATTGTGTGCATTCTAGAATAGTTGTAATGATAATGATGCAAACAATGTTAAGTCCATAAACAGTAGACTGGTAAAATAACATATGTAAAGAACAATGGAATATATGCAGCCATTAAAAAAAAAAAAAAAAAAAAAGCTCATATGTACTGAACAGTAAGGTGTAGAACTCTGTGTGTCTACTATTTTGGCTTCAAAAAGAACATAAAAATACTATAACAATAAATGCTGGAGCGGGTGTGGAGAAGAGGGAACCCTCCTACACCACTGGTGGGAATGTAAATTTGTACAACCACTATGGAGAATGGTATGGAGGTTCCTTAAACAGAACTACCATATGATCCAGCAATCCCAATCCTGGGCATATATCTGGAGAAAACCATAATCTGGAAGGATACATGCACCCCAATGTTCACTGCAGCACTATTTATAATAGTCGAGACATGGAAGCAACCTAAATGTCCATCGACAAAGGAATGGATAAAGAAGATGCAGCACATATGTACAATGGAATATTACTCAGCTATTAAAAAAAAGAATGAAATAATGCCATTAGAAGCAACATGGACGGACCTAGAGATTATCATACTAAGTCAGAAAAAGACAAATATATGATATCACTCATATGTGGAATCCAATTAAAAAAAAAACATGTAAATGAATTTATTCACAAAACAGAAACAGACTTACAGATGTAGAAAACAAACTATGGTTACCAAAGGGGAAACGTGGCGGGGAGGGATAAATCAGGAGCTTGGGATGAACATACACACACACTAGTAGTATACAAGATAGACAGCCAACAAGGACCTACTGTATAGCACAGGAAACCCTAACTCAATATTCTGTGATGATCTATATGAGAAAAGAAACTAAAAAGGAATGAATATATGTATATGTATAACTGAATCACTTTGCTGTACACCTGAAACTAACACAACATTGTAAATCAAATATACTCCAATAAAATTGAAATATTTTTTAAAAAGTAGAAAAAATATATATATAAATACTATAATTAAACTGCATTTTTCACTGAATATCAAGTTTTTTAATGAAATTTAAATTATTCAGCCATTAATAAAAGGAGGAAAAGGAAAATATGAGCAAATCATCTACTACTTCTGTACATGATGCATTCTAAAACCATGCAAAAAAAGTCAAGGACTTCAGAATAAAAACTATTATTTCAAATATATTTTTAAAAAGTTCCAATTACATCCCACCTTTCAGAGACGCTCTTTTTGGATTTTGGGGTTTTTTAAAAAATTTTATTTATTTTTGGCTGTGTTGGGTCTTCATTGCTGAGCGTGGGCTTTCTCTAGTTGTGGCGAGTGGGGGCTACTCTTCGTTGCGGTGAGTGGGCTTCTCATTGCAGTGGCTTCTCTTGTTGCGTAGCACAGGCTCTAGATGCATGGGCTTCAGTAGTTGCAGCACTCAGGCTCAGCAGTTGTGGCTCGTGGGCTCTAGAGCACAGGCTCAATAGTTGTGATGCATGGGCTCAGTTGCTCCACGGCACGTGGGATCTTCCCGGACCAGGGATCAAACCCGTGGCCCCTGCATTAGCAGGCGGATTCTTAACCACTGCACCCCAGGGAAGTCCCCAATCTTTTTTGGTTTTTTCCCCCCAGAGATAATCTTCAACAGATAGTTCAAGCATTTTGAATGTTCCTTCCATTACAGTTGACCATAAATCTACTGTTTACCATACTGAGAGTATTCATTTGTTACTCTTGTCACAACTGGCAAATTTCTGTCTTTGTTCTTTTTTTTTTTTTAAATGAAGACCTTGGGGCCTTTTATCACTAGTATTACCCTCTCTTTTTTACCCGATTTTTCATTAAATTTTGTAAAATAGTAACTTACAAGAAAAGTAGTGTTTCAGTCTTTATTTGGCAGTATGATTCTTTCTTCACATAAAATCTTACTGGTCAGTAAAATATGTAAAAACAAGCTGTTCTTTCTGAAGTGGGATTGGAGAACCCAGTAAAGAGAATGTTGAAAACGTTCAAAGTAAGGAAGGCTAAGATTGACCACACTGGCCTTAAGTCAAGCATATGCCACCAAAATATTTAAAGATAAATGTGCTTATTAAAGTTGGGCAAAGAAACTGAGAAATGATATAAAATAAGTCAATACACATTACTATAAATTACTTACCATAAGAGCCTCGGCCAGCCATTTTATGAAATTGTTGCCAAGTGAGAGGACCTTGAACCCCCCAAGGCCTTACTGTTCTTTTTTTCTGAATAGCATCCTGAAGAACTGGCTGAAGAGATAGAAGCATTCGAAGTATATCTTGTGAGCACTGCATACTCACATCTACAACCATTAAAAAAAAAAAAAAAAAAAATAAGAATTGCTATTATCAACACAAAAATTTTTATGATAACAAGACATGTAGGGAAGTTTAGCTCTTCATCACCAAGAATTGCTATCAACACAAAAATTTTTATGATAACAAGACATGTAGGGAAGTTTAGCTCTTCATCACCAAGATTAAGCATCTGCTTGTGTAGAGAACTATAGTAAGTTCTATCTAAAATGATCTGTAGAAATGGTTTTTCTAGGTATTTAAAACCAAGAAGAGACAATAAAAAAGTTATTGTAACTCGTCTTCATAAAAAGTCATTCATTAGCTCATTGATCGATTTATAAATTAATCAAATAAATTTCTTCCTTTTTGCATTTATTTTGGTTATTTTATCTATTTATTTATTTAGCCTGTGCAGCTCGGCACGCAGGATCTTAGTTCCCCTACCAGGCATCAAACCCGTCCCCCTGCAGTGGAAGCGCAGAGTCTTAACCACTGGACCGCCAGGGAAGTCCCTATTTTGGTTGTTTTTGGTGCTTATAGGTATCTTACTAGAAAGAAGTTTGCCTCACACAGAAATGAGTTATAAATTATGCACCTTCATTACCACCACTTTGGTAAAATGACCAGATGGACAAGACTGGTTACAATGATTAAAGCTTGTGAAAAATAGTAGACTGTATGTAACAACTCTGAAGTATACAACTTGTACAGTAACAGATAAACTTATTCATACTGCTAAAAAATGCTGTAATGTCCAAAGATATTTTATTAACCTAGACGTAATAGATTTACAGATTATCAAATTATTATGACCTACATTTCTGACCAACTATCAGGATGGATATGGAGGGTGTTGCTCTTAAATGTCAAATGGCTTTTTAAAAAACCATGAAATATTACCGATATAAGTAATCTGTCCCTCCATTATGGTTCAGCTGTATCATTAAACCTGTTTGAGCACTCTGTTATGTTAAATCATTCAACTTTAATTCATTATTATTATTACCTAATTTATTTCTTGTTTTAATTCCCTATATCTAAATAGTGTACAGAATCAGAAGTAATTTAATTTCAGATATACTGCTTAATAATTATTATGTTTAAATAAACTATTATATACATAATAGAATACTAGTCATTAAAAGTGATAACAGAGCTATTTGAAATGGACTAATGACTAATACACTAATAAATTAAAAAACAGGTTTTAAAAGTATGGAAGATAATTTTACACAAACAGAACTATGTGTATTCATATGTGACTATTTACATAAAATCTAGAAAAAGTTGTCATTGGCTGAGGTTGTTTACCATAATCAAATGGAGAACTTTTAAAAAACATATACACAGAGCTTACCCTGAGAAATTCTGATCTGAGTGAAGCTCAGGAAACTACAGTTTGATTTTAATTCAGAGAGATTCCCATAGATACTCTTTCATTCTTAAAAAAAAAAAATTTAATGAAGACCTACTATGGGTCAGGAATTATGCTAGCTGCGGAATACTGTGTAAATAAATTCTTATTCACGTCTTCAGGGATCTTACAATCTCGTGCAGGAGAATGCATGAAAAATAATATAATTGTATATTATGACAAGTGCCAGGTCTCTATACTGAGATCTGGTGGAAAGCAATGGTTTTTAGAATATATAATGATTTTTTTTTTTTTTTTTTTTTCCCTTGCGTTATGCGGGCCTCTCACTGTTGTGGCCTCTCCCATTTGCGGAGCACAGGCTCCGGACGCGCAGGCTCAGCGGCCATGGCTCACGGGCCCAGCCGCTCCGCGGCATGTGGGATCTTCCCGAAACGGGGCACGAACCCGCGTCTCCTGCATCGGCAGGCGGACTCTCAAGCACTGCGCCACCAGGGAAGCCCATGATTTTTTTGTTTGTTTGTTTGTTTGTTTGTTTTTTTTGTTTTTTGTTTTTTGTTTTTTTGTTTTTTTGCAGTACGCGGGCCTCTCACTGTTGTGGCCTCTCCCGTTGC